GTACATATTAAAAAAAATTCTTTAGATAAATATTTTTTGAGCTTTATTAAACCCGCTCTCAATGTGGATACCTATAAGAATTTTTTTAATACATACCTTAATAATAATTTTTAGTATTAATTGTTGTAAAAATAATAAAAATTAATTAATTAATTTTTTTTTTTACAAGGGTAATGGTTAAGAAGTTAGTATAAATTAGTTGTTAGCAACTGGGAATTCGATCTTCAGACCGGGTGAACATTCCACCCCCTCAAATGAGGCACGCTGCCATCAGGTCGTTTTTTGGTGAAGTTCACGACGGTGGTAAAACTCAAAACTCCGACCACCTAACCCAAACACTTAAAGCATGGGGTCAAACCATTGGGTCTAAAGGTCCGATTCTAATTAATTATTTAATTAAAATAGTTTATATAGTATAAATAATAAAGAAAAAGTTAAAAGAACCATAACTATAATTATTAACGAAAACATCCCTCTCACAGAATTAATACACTTTTTTAGTATCTAACCTGAAAAGCGTGCTTTTTTTTATTTTTTATTTTTATTGAAAGTCTAAATATGAAAGTCAGAAAGTCCAAGCAGTTAACAGTATTCATTCCAGACAAAGAGAGACCATTGAATTGTTGTGTCTCTACGGGGTGAACCTCCAGATGCGTTCTAAGTCGGCGGTTGAGATTTAGGGATGAGGGTGAATGGGGTCATCATGGGAACTCCGGCCAATGAACTCAAAACTTTTACTTTCACACCCACACCGAGTCCATGCGTTCTACGTGCTGGTTCTTTTTAAGAAAATGATTCTAATCTGACATATTACATAAATTGATCTCTCTAACATGGGTCAGCATTCGCATAGTTGCATGTAAAGACAATTACTACTACGTAATCCCGTTTTATAAATATGATGAAAATATCATTCGTGTCAGGAGCCAAGGCAACCTAGCTAGCTAATAGCAAAAACAATAATCATTTCTCAAAAATCCTTTAGTGGCCGTGCACATGTGAAATATGGATACGGACGTGTCACTTATTCTACTGAAAGTAAGAAAGAAGGATTTTTTCAACGACCCATTCCTTCCTCATGATTGACTTCCTTGCGGATGGCGGGAAGAACGTTGGATTAAAATTGAAATCTACGTGTACAGATGATTTGCAAGAGAGAGGGATGCCTTCCTGTAGAATGGGTTACGAAATCTGCCTTGCACAATTTTAAGGACTTAAACATTACCGTGAATTAAAATTAACAAATTCTAATTAAATTAAATAGCATGCAATTTAAAATAATCGTACGAGAACAAGATGTATCTAAATTAAATTAAACATGTTCATTGTTAAATTAAAATACTATCTACTGACAGATTTAGAGATTAAACTACTGTAGAATTGGAGATTTTACCTTAATTAAAACTAAAACAAACTTGAATAGGAATTAAGCTAACATGCTTGAAGTTGAGAAAAAGCGTGGACACCATATAAGTAATCATTGAAGAAATGCTATTTATCATAAACATTAAATTAATTGCAGACAGAAAAGGAATAGTACCTTGAAGAAATTTGAAAGATTGAAGTTCATTACATGAAATGAAATTGTTGAAGTGAATACATGAACTAATTTGTCTACTAGAATGATAAAAAACAACCTAAATTTATTGGGATTTGTGCTAAAATTCGAACTCTGTAAGCAGTAGTGAGCAATTGTAGAGAAATTGAAAGTTTGAAAATGTACAAGTTGTGTGTAGGGTTGGCCGTGTATTCTCCAATCCAAAATTTCCTTTTTGTTCTCCTTTTGCCGGCAGTAACTCCCTACTTTTTGCAGTTACAAAATTGTGGGTGGTTTATTAAGGTAGTGGGATAGTTTAATAGTTGACATGGTTAGATCCCTTTCCAGATTTCGTCACCTATGCCCTTATCTGATAACTCCCACCTATAATTGTCATATCCTCCTAAATTTTAGCTAAAACAAACCTAATTTAACCTAAAAAGGGTAATTAAAAGATAAAAACCCTATCTTTTATCTCATTTTTCCAATGTGGCAGCTGATCTGTCATGGGATCCAGAATTACAGATCTAACATGGCTAAATCTCCACCATCCATTTAAAAATTTTTGACACGTGTCATCATTTTAAATTTTTGCAATTTATGGTGTAAACAATGATGTTATTGCATTTTGTTGTTCTTTAGTTGCTCGTGATAGGGCTATTTTTCTTTGTATCAAACTGAATCTATATGTACTTAGTGTGTTCCAGATTAGTAGATGCTATTACCACAAAAGTTCTTGGTTGACTCTATCGTGTGAGTTTGGGTTTAGGATGAATCATTCATTGTTTAAAATGAAGATATATGATTTTTTTAATGACCTTTTCGTTTTTAGCAGTCAAACTTTCAAGTAAGATGATTAAAAATGACATTTGTTTATAAATTGTTTTGGGCCTCAAATAATGTTACAAAATGAAAAGTGATGTACTGCAAAAATAACTTATTATTTGTTTTAAACAACTTTAAAGACTACAAAGATATATAAAAGGTTATTAATCTTAATTAAACACAATATCTTAAATAAAATAACTAAAAACAATATACTGAAACAACATGTATTTAAGGGAAATTTGCAGGCTAGAAATGGTATAAACCTGCAAACCATGGTTATGACTATGTGCACTACATTGAATCTGAAAAATCAACTTTAGAATAGTTTCAGAAATTTAGAATGGTTCTAAATTAATCTAAAATCAGTTAATCTACTTAAAGATCTAATGCTAGATTAAACTAGAAGGTAGGCTAAGTCTAGTTCCATAAACTAATTTAGTTTAATTTCAAACTAGATTAAAACTAACTACTCTACATGAGAATCAAAGTTGAAAACTTTAATTGAAATCTAGCAATTGATGAGAATAACCAACAATCAAACTGTTTACACCATAAATTGTAAAATTTTAAGATAAAGCCATGTGTAAAATATTTTTAGTGGATGGAGGAGATTAGGCCAGGTCAGATTCGTAATTCTGGGTTCCATGACAGATTAGCTGTCATTTTGGCAAAAAAAATGGAAGATAAACTTGAGATTTTACTGTGTAATTATCTTGTGGAAGTAAAGAGGGACTGTTTAAGCTAAAATGTAGGAGAAGATTGCAGTTAAAGAGGGGTTTTATCTGATAAAGAAACAGATGACGAAAATCAGTAAGGAGATAAGACCCAGTCAATTGGTGAGCTGTCCCATTATCTCAAGAAACCACCCATGATTGAGTAACTGCAGAAAGTGGAAGTTACTATCGACACAAGGAAAACAAAAAGGAAATTTTGGAAAGGAGAACACACGGCCAGCCCTACTCAAACATCTGCAAATTTTTAGACTTTATTTTCTTTGCAATCTGCTTTCAGATTTCGAATTTCAGCACAGATTCCAGTAAAATTAGTTTGGTTTTCATCATTCCAATAGGTAAATTAATTCATGTATTTAGTTCAATAATTTCCTTTCATGCAATGAACTTCAATCTTTCAAGTTTATGCAAGGTATTGTTCTCTTTCCATTTGCAATCAATTTAATGTTTATGATAAGTAGCATTTTATTCAATGATCACTTATGTGGTGTTCATACTTCTTTTCAACCTCAAGCATGTTAGTTTAATTACTGTTCACGTTAATTTTAATGTTAATTAGGGAAAATCTTTAATTCTGCAGCATTTTAATTTCCAGATCTGCTAGTGGATAGCATTTTAATTTAACAATGAACATATGTTTAATTTAATTTGTGCACATTTTATTCTTGTCAATTTATTTTAAATTGCAAGTTATTTAGCTCAATTAGGATTTGTTAATTTTAAGTAACAATAGTGTTTAAGTCCTTGAAGTTGTCTAAGGCAGATTTCATAACCTATTCTGCAAAAAGGTATCGCTCTCTCTTGCAAATCGTCTGTAGACGCATATTTCAATTTTAATCCAACGTTCTTCCCGCCATCTGCAAAGAGGTCGATCGTGAGGAAGGAGACGGTCGTTGGGAAAGTCCTCTTTTCTTACTTTCAACAAAGTAAGTGGCACGCCCGCATCCAGATTTTACACGTGCGAGGCCACTAGAGGATTTTTGGGGAAACACGAACATTTAAAGAAAACAACTTCTAAAGAGTATGAACATTGTAAAGAAGTAATCATGATGGAAATCTGGAAACTAATTTCAAAAGCTTACTTAATTTAATTTCAAACTAGATTAAAACTAACAACTCTATGTGAGAGTCAAAGTTGAGAACTTTAATTGAAATCTGAAAATTGATGAGATCTACCAACAATTGAACATCTAAAAAAAACAACTTCTAAAAGCATGAATTTTGTAAAAAAGAAATCACAATGGAAGTAAATAAATGACCCTAATATGAATCACTTAAAAGAGTAGAATTCATTGAAAAATTACTAATCATATCAATGGGAGAGACCTGAATTACAAGATTGGTTCACTTTCAAGTTCTACAATTGAAATGTTGCAAATAATAATTGGAATTTTTTCATATATGAAATTTTTATTGAGTATTTTTATTTAATAAAAAAATTTTCAATTTTTATTTATGTATAATTATATGTTTAATTTTTATATAAAATTTATATTGAAAAATTTTAAAAATCAAAATAAAACTATTAAAAATAATTGAAGTAATCCTCGAAGTATTTGAGAATAGAGAGAGAAGCGGGTTACATTTTTTTTTTTTTTACATAAGAAATTGGGAAAAGAGAAATTACATCACAAAAATTTGAATTATGATGGAACCCATGGTTTAAGATGCACCATACCATTGCAACCACAGCTATGAGTGCGGGAAACGGGTTACGTTACTTTCCAAGACGCTAATGCTTCTTATTGTTATATGTTACACTACTAGAATTAGGGGCTTTTTTGTTGACTCAATGTACTCCAAGAGGGGGGGTGAATTGGAGTTCCAAAAATTCTTCCTTTTTTGCAACTACAAAACCAAAATTAAAGAGTAGAGAAGAAAAGCTTACTCAATGATTTATAGAGGTTCGGTCCAACCACTTGGAGCCTAGTCCTCTACCTTGGCTTCACTCACCAAGGATTTCCTCCACACTCTCCACTAACAATAGCAAGGGTGGCTTAAAGGAGCCACTCAATCCTTTTACAAGAATAAGGGTGTTTCTCTCAAATCTCACCCCTTTACAAGATAAACCCAAACAATCCTCTCTACAAATGACTTTTGAAGGAATCAACACACCCCCAAGATCACTCACAAATAGAACAAGAGGAGGATTACAACTAAAGATCTCTCAAAGATCAAAATCTCAAGTTAAAGCACAAGTTGGTAGGTAAAGATATTCAATACAATGCTCACTAACCTTCTTCAAATCTGTTGCCAACCATATTTATAGCCCCTTGCTCGAAAATAGCCGTTTCTAGCCGTTGGGAGTCATTAAATGCTCTGCAGGATGCATGGCTCGAGTTGTAGAACTGTCAGGAGAGCCGACTTAACTTCCTAGAGCCGATTCTACACAGCCGGCTCACCATTTCTGCAGCCAGCTTTGCGGGATTCCTGCACATTCTGTTTTCCTCAAGAGCCGGCTTTGGAACTCTGACTTTAAATACATTAAATGTTCTTCAAAAGAGTCGACCGTTGTGCATTAAATGCACCCTCATAGCCGGCTATAAAGTTGGAGCTGGCTCTGCTTCCATTTTCCGCGCGCGCCAAAACAACAGTTGAATTTCTGGCCCGTAGAGCCAGCTCAACAAAATTTGCAGTCGGCTCTCTACACTTTTGCTTCCTAGAGCCGACTGCAATTTTTTTAAGCCGGCTCTCTGCACATTTTTACCCTTTGAGCCTTTTTTAATGCAATCTAATTTTGCTTACTTTGCAGTATATTGGCAATTTAACTACATACTTAATAAATCAATTAGTCACTCAAATGTGTTTTGTAATCATCAAAATCATAGGTATAACAATCTCCTCCTTTTTGATGATGACAAAACACTTTGATCATAAAGCATATATACTTCAATATTAACCTCAAAATTTCAGCATCAGGAAAATGATATTAAGACATTAAGACATTCCAGAAAATTATGAGAATTCAGCATATTTTCTCCCCATTTTTGTCATTCATCAAAAAGTATATAAACATAAGCAATAAACTCTCCCTTAATTCATGCTATCAACCTTTAAAACATCAAGAATATGTAATGAATATAATCATCAATCATCATCAATATAGCACCATAGACAACCAAAGTCATGAATACAATCATCAACCAATAAACTCCGCCTCAATAAGAGCATATAATCATAAAAAACATAGACAATCAATACCAAAAGTCATGCCAAGGCTGGGCTGGTTTGTGCGAGGAGAGAGAAACCCAAATGAGTTAAAAAGCTGCAGGAGAGCCAGCTCTAGTCTTGGAGCCGGCTTAACTTTAGAGAGAGAAGACTCTCGGGTTTTTGGGTGGAGCAGGCTGTGAAAATGGTTGAACCGGCTCTACTGGCCTTGATTGGGACAAACATAAAGATTGGGGTTGTTTTGAAGACAATGCATCTTAATTTGATATTTCTTCATTTAACTAAGTTTAAATTGGACATCAACTACTAAATAATGCAACTTTAGTCATATATTAATGTATGCATCATCACATATCATGAATATAATAAAGGTACACATATCAAAGTAATCAATATGCACAAATTTTAATAAGCAAATTCATTAATTTCAAGAATCATATCAAGCACTAGGAAAGACACATCAAATGGAATCATACTCAACAAGCATATGTATTAAAGAGTGAGCACACATAAATCAATAATTAATAGTCATGCTAATGTACTTATACTCAATGAATAAATACAATAAAATAAATAATATCAATTTGAGCACATGAGTGGAGCATTCAAAAACAAATTTCCTTTGCACTTCCACTCCAACATTCTTGTTGAGGCATAAGTCATTTTAAGATCTACTTTGCTTTCCTTATGACTTTGCCATCAACTTTGCCTACAAAACAAAATTAAGTTTTGATTTTTGGTACCCAAATTTGCTTGGGTCCATGGGGGTTAGTGCTTAAAGTTCCTTTTGGAACCCAAATTTGTTTTACTTTTCCTTGAGCTATCAATCTCTTCAAAGGACATACTCAAATGAACTTTCATTAATTGAACTAGAGAAGTTAGAGTTTACCTCCGCATCATTGTAGCTATCCTCTTGAGCCATGAAGAAAAGATTTGCAACACCATTTTTCAAGGAGCTTTCACTTTCCGTTGAGCTAGTCTCATCATTGCTCCAAGTTGCGGTAAAAGCTTTCTTCTTCATGCTCTTCTTGTTTTTCCTTTCACCCTTCTTCAATTTGGGACATTCATTTATATAGTGCCCCATCTTGTTGCACTCATAGCATTTCACACTCCTTTTGGTAGACTCTCCTTCATCTTTTTTTGCAAGCTTGCTCTTGATGTTCTTCTTCATAAATCTCTTCACTTCCTTTGAAATCAATTTGGTGATGTCTTCCTCATTGCTAGACTCATCATTACTAGCATCATCTTCACTCTCTTCCTTTTGGTTGCTAGCCTTGAAAGCAACATTCTTCTTCTTCTTCTCAACTACTTCAACTCCACCATCAACTTAAACTTCTATCTCATATGTCATCAATTTTCCAATGAGATCTTCAAGCTTGAGAGTGTTGAGATCCTTAGATTCTTCAATTGCAGTCTTCTTGGCTTCCCAACTCTTAGGCAAGCTTCTAAGAACCTTTCTCACCACTTCTTGAGGAGGATAGACTTTACCAAGAGCCTTGAGATTAGTGACTATATCATTCAATCTTATATACATATCTTGAATGCTCTCCTCCGGTTTCATCTTGAAAAGCTCATACATGTAAATGAGTCTATTTATTTTTGACTCCTTTACTTGGCTTGTTTCTTCATGAGTGACTTCTAGCATGTCCCACATCTCCTTAGCCGTATCACACCCGGAGACTCTATGATACTCCGTTGGATTAAGAGCACATTGAAGCATACTAATTGCCTTGTTTTTTATCATGATCTTCTCCAAGTCTTCATCATTCCAATCAATCTCTTCTTTTGGCACCTCTCTTTCTCCAACAATTTTCATAGGTACATATGGACCTTTCATGGTCACAACCCATGCCTTCGGCACAGTTGCAAGCATGAAGACCTTCATCCTATTCTTCCAATAATTATAATTAGTACCATCAAAGAAAGGAGGCTTAATGGTAGACAAACCTTCAAGTGGTTGAGAAGATAGAAATTGAGCCATTCCCGATCAACTCCTAGGTGGTTAAACCTTCAAATTGGAGCCCTTGCTCTGATACCAATTGTTGACTCAATGTACTCCAAGAAGGGGGGTGAATTGGAGTTCCAAAAATTCTCCCCTTTTTGCAACCACAAAACCAAAATTAAAAAGAGTAGAGAAGAAGAGCTTGCTCAATGATTTATAGAGGTTCGGTCCAACCACTTGGAGCCTAGTCCTCTACCTTGGCTTCACTCACCAAGGATTTCCTCCACACTCTCCACTAACAACAACAAGGGTGGC